GGGAATTCTTATGCAGACCGGCTGGCTAACTCTATTATAGACACTGAAGATCATATTCTTCATCAAATTTAGTGGGATCCCCCACTTAGAATCCAGTTTTTGTTTCTTGCGGATCTAGCTGTCGGTAGGCCTAGAGCTATGGTGTGTAGGAGTTAGGTGTTTTGTTGTTTTTTTTTTCTTTTTAGGCTTTGGCCTTATGATTACCAAAATAAAAAGCAAAAAAATAAATTCGCGATTTTTTAAAAGATTGTATACAAAAAGAAATATAAAGACAATTATCATATATATATATATATATATATATATATATATATATATATATATATATATATGGATCAGGATCATTTTACATCAGTGTAAGTTACACTCTCAATCTTGTCCGTTGATCCCACTTATATCTAAGGGCTCAAATATTTTAGTAATACGAGCCATTGGATACAAGTGGATCAATGGTCAAGATTGAGTGTAAAACTTCTAACTCTTACACCGGTGTAAGAATATCTCACCCCTATATATATATATATATTATTTTGAATTGAATTTTTATAATTCAAAAGATATCTTGAATTGAATAATTTGAAATGAACAAATTTATCTTATGTATATTTTATGGGTAAAGGATTTCTCTGGTCAATGGAGATAAGTTATCTCCGGTGAGTCCAAAACGACGTCGTTTTGAGACGGAAATCAAGGTATTTTTGTAATCCTAATATATTGTAGGGTTATATTAGTATCTATCATTATAATTTTTTAATCTTATAACCCCAAAACGACATCGTTTTAAGTTCACTGGAAGTTATCTCCAGTGACTGGAGAAATACTTTTCCCATATTTTATATACACAATCTAGGTCTTGGCTCTATATTTTTTTTTTTTGTATACAATCTTTTAAAAAATTGTAAATCTTTTCTTTTTTTGTTATATATATTGTTATGGAATATATCCATATCCGAACTACCTACCCATGAATCCCTTAATGGATAATGACTCTTTTACAACGGAAGAATAAAATACTGAATATGTAAAATAAGACTCAGAAATAAGAAATGCATTGAATTGAATTTCATTTTGATGATACTGTATACAGTGAACCAACTATATAAAGGGAAAGCAAATAACCAACTCCCTAAGATTGCGGAGAATCCCAAGGAGCAGTGGAGCAAAGAAACTAACTAACGATAAAGGAAGATTGCAGCTGATAACAGAAACCAGCAAAGAGAATTACAAAGTGCAACAGAAAGGATAAAAATAATAAAAATAAAACTGTAAAACTCCCCCTCAAGATGGAGATAAAATATTCATGACTCCCATCTTGGAAAGAAGATGATGAAACTGCGTAGGATGCAAAGCTTTTGTAAATAAATCTGCAATTTGATTGGCAGAAGAAATAGGGAAGGTCTGAAGAGATCCTTTGCAAATATGCTCACGAACCAAGTGACAGTCGATCTCTATATGCTTCGTACACTCGTGAAAAACCGGGTTTGCAGCAATGTGAAGAGCAGCATCATTATCACAGAACAAGTGTGCAGGAGAAGGATGAGGAACCCGAAAGTCATGTAATAAAGAAGAAAGCCAAACAATTTCACAAGTTGCATTAGCCATTGACCTGTATTCTGCTTCAGCCGAAGACCTTGAGACTGTGGGTTGTTTCTTGAACTTCCAGGAGATAGGAGAATGACCAAGAAAAACGCAAAATCCAGAAACTGAGCGTCTAGTATTAGGGCAACTTGCCCAATCAGAATAAGAAAAGACCTTGAGATGGAGAGCAGAATCAGTAGCAAAAAAAATACCTTGTCCAATAGTATGCTTCAGGTAAGCAAGAATGTGATGGGCAGCATGAAGATGAAGAACTCTTGGTGTAGAGAGAAACTGACTTAAGCGATTAACAGCAAAAGAAAGATCCGGTCGAGTAAAGGAAAGGTAGATCAGTCTGCCAATAAGACGTCTATATGAAGTAGGATCTTCCAATAAATCACCATCATGTTTAGATAACTTCAAATTGGATTCCATGGGGGTATTTTGAGGTTTACAACCAGAAAGACCAGTGTCCTGAAGAATGTCCAAAATATACTTACGTTGACTGATGAAAATACCTTTGGAAGATCTGGCAACCTCCACTCCAAGAAAGTACCTGAGGGGTCCAAGATCCTTTAAATGAAAACATTTGTCCAAAGAGGAAATGAAAGGCTGAATGGCATTGGAATCTGAAGAAGCCACTATTACATCATCAACATAAACTAGAATGGCCATCATAGAAGAACCTTTAAACTGGAGAAAGAGAGAGTGGTCAGTTGTTGATTGAGAAAAACCCATAGATATCAGAGTAGAGCTCAATTTTTGAAACCATTGTCGAGAGGCTTGTTTTAGACCATATAGAGACTTCCTTAAGCGACAAACTGGATTTGAAGGAAGAGGCTCCCCCTGACAGTTATACCCTGAAGGCAGTCGCATAAAGACCTCCTCATTTAACTCCCCGTGAAGAAAAGCGTTGTTCACATCCAACTGATGAAGAGTCCAGCCAAAAACAGCAGCAAGAGTAAGAAGAAGCCTGACAGTAGTGACTTTAACTACTGGAGAAAAGGTATCAAAGTGATCAATACCTTCTTGTTGAGTGTATCCTTGAGCTACGAGACGAGCTTTGTAGCGTTCCAGGCTACCATCAGCATTATACTTGACACGGAAGACCCATTTACAGCCGATTGGATGCTTGCCAGGAGGTAAAGAAACAATGTCCCAAGTTTTATTTAGCTCAAGAGCAAGAAGCTCAGTGTTCATGGCATCACACCATTCAGGAAGTTGGGAAGCTTGGGAGTATGTAGTAGGTTCAAAATGGGTGGATAAAGCATTGATAAAAGTCATGTGGGGAGAAGAAAGGCGATGGTAAGAGAGGTGGTTGGATAGAGGGTGAGCTGTTGATGTGGAACAGTCATAGTCAAGGAGAAATTTGGGAGGATGAGAAGCCCGAGTAGGTCTGGTTGGAGCAGTAGCAGGAGCAGGAGCCGTAGCAGTGGCAGTGGTGAGTTGAGTGGGAATGGGAATTGAAGTGATAGGAGAAGAGAGTATAGGAGCAGAAGCAAAGGGAAAAATATTTTCATAAAAGATGACGTCTCTTGAGATGAAAATACGATTGGAATGAAGGTCCAGAAGCTTGTAACCTTTATAACCAGGATGGTAACCAAGAAACACAGAGGGTGTGGCCCTAGGAGAAAATTTGTGACGAGAACGTGAGAGGGTTGAGGCATAACATAGACAACCAAAAGTGCGAAGGTGAGAATATTTGGGAGGTTTGTTGTGAAGAAGGGTAAAAGGAGTAGAGTTAGACAGTAAGGGAGAGGAGGTTCTGTTAATGAGATAAACAGATGTGAGGATGCATTCCTGCCAATATGGGAGAGGAACATGGGATTCGAAATGAAGAGCGCGAGCAACATTAAGAATGTGCTGATGCTTGCGTTCAACCACTGAATTTTGTTGTGGTCTTTCGACACATGAATGAAAGAGGGTGATTCCTTTAGAAGAGAAAAAAGGAATATTAAATTCTGGTGCATTGTCACACCGAACAGATTTAATGGATACATGGAATTGGTTGTAAATAAGATTATAAAAATTAATAAAAACAGAAGAGAACTCAGATTTGTGTTTAAGAAGAAAAATCCATGTATATCTTGTGTGATCATCCACAAGTGTGAGAAAAAATCGAAAACCATTAATTGAGATGGGGTTGAAAGGACCCCAAATGTTACAGTGAATTAAATCAAATGCTGTGGGAGATAATTGCGGGTTTAACAAAAAAGGCAAGCGTTTTTGCTTTGCTAAAGGGCAAACGGTGCATTGTAAATCATCAGAAACAACAGGAATATCCAAGCAACTTTTCATTGATGATAAAATAGGAAGAGATAAATGACCTAGTCTAGAATGCCACAAGGCAATTTTCTTAGAATTTACAGACAAACAGAAAGGAGAAACAATATGCTTGGAAGAAAGTAAATCAGCAGAGTCAAGGATGTAGAGGCCACGCACTAGGTTAGCAATCCTAATCGTCTCTTTGGAGACCCGATCCTGAAGAAGGCAACGAGAGGAAGAAAAAATTGCAACCAAGTTAGTGGTGTGAGAAATAGCACTGATACTGAGAAGATTAAAAGAGAAATCAGGAATATAAAGAACATTTCTAAGAATTAAAGATGGAGATAAAACTGAACAACCCATGGATACCACCGGAGCGACCATGCCGTTAGGGAGAGACACGACCGAATCGGCGGTAGAAGGAGAGAACGAAGAGGACAAAGGAGCACGAGAGACGTGATGCGTAGCTCCAGAATCCAAGACCCAACAAGAAGCAGGAAGGGAAGCAGGGAACTCACCATTGACACTTGCTACGGTGGGATTAAAATTGTCCGTTGGGGAAGAAGGATGAGGGGACAGGGGAGTAGGGTGGGGATGGGGAGAGAGAAGAGATATGAGCTGTTGGTATTGATGAGGGGTAAAGGACGGTGTCGATGTAGGGAGAAGTTATAATAGCCCATCTTAATTAATTAGTAAATCAAGTGTAATTAATTAATTAAACATGTTTTAGTGAGTAAAATTAAGTATAAGGCGTAATGAAATGAATCTGAGTCACTTTGGAGTTAAAATGTGTACTCAGTAAAAATTAAGGGGTATAAATGGGTACTGGCAAAAGTGCCCAAAATATAAAAATAAAAATAAAAATATTCCTAGAAAAATATTCCAGACTTTTGGGTAAAGTTTGGTAATTATTGGAGTTGAATATATAGACGAACCAATACCCGCTTAAAGCCACTTAACCTATGTTAAGTGACTAAAAGCCAAAAGAACCCATTTCCCCCCCCCAATGCCCGTCGCCAGCAAACAGAAGAAGGAGAAGGAGAAGAAAGGGAGAGAGAAGAAGAGAGAGAGGAGGGAGGAAACCTTGATGGTTTTGGGTGATTCAAAAGCCTAAATCGCTTAGAATCTCGCCCTCTTTCATAATCCAAGCTTAGTTTTAAGTGGGGAGCTTTGTGTGGTGAGATATTGGCTCTCAAAAATTCGGCCCTTTGGTGAAAATTGGGGTTTTGAGAGTTTCTACCTCAATTGAAGCTTGAGGAGCCATCAATCCTTGGTTGTGTGACCATTGGTGGTAAGATTCTAACCCTTGAACCTCATGATTCCTTGAAATTTGCATGAGTTAGGGTTTATGAATAGTGTTTTAGGGTTTTTGATGAAATGTTGTTAAATTAGCTATGTTCTAGGAAGAATGGAGCTTAAAGCATGTTATGGAAAGTGCTAGGAATGTCATTTAATCGGTGAAAATGAGCTTAGATAGCTAAATGAGTATACTTGTAAAATGGCAAGAATATGATGCTTGATATTGGATTTCTTGCATTGTTGATAAATGGTATGGCTTGGTTGATTGATGATTGTGTCCTAATGATGTCTAGGATTGAGACATTTGGACCGACCGTGAGTGATCAACCGCTTGAGCAAGCTATGGAGCTTGAGTAGCTCATTGGAATTGGTGTTGGTTTTGGAGTAGAGTATTGTTGACATTGGTGGTGAACTAAGGTTGCTGAAGCTTTGAGGTAAGCCTTCAGACCTTGGGTGTAATTCCCTTGACTGTTCTACCAAGCCCTGAAAGGGTAGAGGTTGTGATTGTGTATATAAATGCAATAAAATAGTGTAATGCTTTGTTATACGTATGTGTATGCATTTGGTGTGGCATAGGATGGTGTTTCCCTATGTTGGTATGTTGCATGACGATGCGTAAATCATACTTGGTAGTTAGCTGGCCAGTAGGACTATTTGCATCTGAGTTTCCTTAGGACAGCTTGAGAGCTCGAGGGATTTCTCCTGGAGATGTATTGTACTTTGCATAGATATGTATTTACTGCATTATTATTGTTATTGCTATTACACTGATATGGAACTGTGGGGTGGAGAGATGCTCCAAGGACCCCTGGTTTACTGGATATATTCGTATATCTCACCGCGTGTTGTGGGGACCTCCTTTCAGGTAAGGATGCTGCAGGAGCCTCTGGTGGCAAGTGGCCATATCTGGATTATGCATGAAATGTGGCATTTCTTTTGAGATTATACATGTTGTTTTGTAGCTCACATGTATAGAATTGTAATGAATATGCAATGATAGATGTATGATTTGTATATTGGAATGGACTTAGTCTATGCTCATGCCTTTGGTCATCTCTTTTGTTGATGGGAGCCAAGGGAATGATCATAGTGTTTTGTAAGCTAAGTTCCATGATTTGTAATGGATATGTAATATAAATGTTGTCTACTTGAAATTCAATATATGCATGCTAGTTATGTATTGAGTTATTGAGTTGGTTGGGCTGAAAATCAATTAGGTACCCTTTGTTTAAATTGGGAAACAATGAGAAAACAAAGGTTATGCTGCCCAAATTCTCGCTAGATCTCATGAGGAGAGGTTGGATGAGTGCTAGGATTTAGTTTTGGGGCATGGACAATTGGGGTTTGGAATGGGGATGCATCTTCCCCTAGACTTGGACTTGAAGAAAGTGGGAATTGGAATTCCCTGGCAGCGCGCTGAAGCGCCCAGGAGCGCGCTCAAGCGCCCTGCTGCCCCTGTGAGTGCCAATGCATTCGGCCTCCTCGCGCTGGAGCGCCCAAAGTGGGGGCTTAAGCGCCCAGGATTTCGCGCTGGAGCGCCCTTCGCTGCAGAAAGATGGGATGCTTACTGTCCCCTCGAGTTTTAGCGCCCAGGGTTGCGCGCTTGAGTGCCCTGGTCCGCGCTTGAGCGTCCTTAGCCACTGAAGGAGGAGATGCTTCTGTCTCTGCGCGCTAAAACGTCCCAATGGGAGCTTGAGCGCCCAGGATAGCGCGCTTGAGCGCCCTGATGCGCGCTTAAGCGCCCATTCACACTGAAATACCTGATGCTTCCTGCCTCCGTGCGCCTAAGCGCCCAAATGGAGGCTGTAGCGCCCGATATCGCGCGCTTGAGCGCCCGGTAGCGCGCTGAAGCGCGCGGGGCCTGTGGCCAACACTCTCTTGTGTTGCTTCAAATTGTCATAACTTGGGCTACAGTGCTCCGATTTGAGCGCGTTTTGAAGCCACGGGTAGCTAATGAAGAAATCTACAATATTGTAGAAGTTGTGAAATAAATAGGAAGCAAATTAATGGTTTAAAATGGAATAAGAACATGATGTTAAGCTTAATTTATCTGATTCCGCAAGGTAATATGGTTATGATCACGAAATTGGGTATTATAAGTTCGGTATGTTTTAAAATGAAAAATTTATCCGGATTTTAATTGAACCCATGTGATTATAACGACGCTTAATATCATAATGAGATGTTAACAAACAGGTTCTAGAACGGGGTGTTACATTTTATGGTATCAGAGCAGTTTCGTAGGGAATAACTGTTAGCTATTGTTGAGTATGCTTAATGTTTGATGCTTTATAGTTGTTTTAGTACTCTTTATGATTATTGCATTTGTGATCACTAAGTGCGGGCCTGATCAACTCACTTCTTTGTGTAACATGTGTAGTGACATGACGAGGCACCGAAACAACCCCGGACCATCAAACACCAATGCTCAGCCAGAACCTGTTTTGGCTGCCCTTGTGAGGCCTAGAAGTGGTCGTGGGGCAACGGGCGTACAGCCTGATCCCGTGGCTGAAGCTCTTGCAGCCGTTCAGAGGGAGTTGGCTGCTAGCAGGCAAGCCAATGAAAATCTGATGAAAACAAATGAAGACTCGCGGACTGCTATGGTCGCGATGATGACCGAGTTGACGACGTTGAGGGGTCCTAGGCCCGTGAACCGGCATCCCACTCCTCCTCCTCACACTGCTACGCCTTCTCCCCCTCCTTCACAAGAAGAGGGTGTAGTGGGTAACAATGAAGGTGAGGGTAGTCACCATTCTGGAAGTCGGAGTCATCACACTGAGGTTCGTCAACCTCGAGTTGAGAATGTCGGTGACCATGAAGTGGAGGAAAGAAGATTGATGGCTTTTCGAAAACACAAACCTCCTTCTTTTAAGGGAGGTTATGAGCCAATGGCGGCTGCAAAATGGCTCCAAGCGATGGAGAAAATATTCAGGGTGATGAGATGCCCTGATGCAATGAAGTTGGCTTACTCTGTTTATATGCTGGAAGAGGAAGCGGAAGATTGGTGGACCAATACCGTGCAGCCATTAGAAGCTGAAGGTCGGGAGATCACATGGCGGTTGTTCGAGACGTCATTCTTGGACAACTACTTCCCTAGAGAGGCTAGGGAACAAAAGCAGAATGAGTATAACGATCTCAAGCAAGGGTCGATGTCTATTGACCAATACTTCAGTAAGTTCAATGAGTTGGTGAAATACGCCAACTATGGGCGAACCTTACCCACTCCGGCTGAAATGACCTCCAAGTTCCAATGGGGTCTTAATGAGAAGATGTATCGGAAGATGTCAAATTGTGACATCCGAGAGTTCAGTCGGTTTGTAAATCAGTGCAGGAAGTTAGAAGAAGTGTACAAGGTGTCCCAAACCAAGAAGCCTTCTGAGGCCCAGAAACCCAGTTCCAATAAAGCAACGGGCTCAGGTTATTGGAAGAACAGAAAGATGCAAGGCAAGAAGCTAAATGTGAATAGGCCCTTTGACTTGTTCAAAAAGCCCGGGACTCAGAAGAATTGTGTTGATAGAGGACCTCCTCCCAAGTGCAAGGGATGTGGCAAGTAGCATAGAGGTCCATGTGCTACTGGTGAATTGATCTGTTTTAAATGTCGAAGATCCGGTCACTATTCCAGGCAGTGTCCTCAGAACGAAGCGAGGACTATGGCAGTGCAAGCTACTGCTGTTCCTGTCTCTATTGTTCCACCTATGCTAGAGTCTCAGACGGTTGGTAGAGTATATACCATGGACCGTCAACAATCGGAGAAGGCTCTGAATCTAGTGAAAGATACAATTTATATTGATAATATGGATGTTGAAGTGTTGTTTGATTCAGGAGCTACACACTCCTGTATGTCTGATTTCATGGTCGTTGGGCTAAATTTGCAAATGTACGACATTCGCCCTCCAATGAAAGTGGTTACTGCTACTGGAGAGGAGTGTTATACATCCGTGTTGTGTAAAGATGTTGAGTTCAAATATGAAGGCCGAGATTACGTGCTGGATTTTATTTGTTTACCTATGATCAGCCTTCAAGTTATCTTGGGTATGGACTGGTTGTCAAAGAACTGTGCTATGATAGACTGCTGTGGTAAAAAGATTGTGCTTGATGCTGATGATTCTGCTACTAGTTCTTCCCCATATCTATCTGTGTTGCAGGTTAGAAAGGCTTTGAGGGCCGGGGCATTGGGATATGTCTTTGTGGGGGGTTTAGTAGGCGGAAGTCATGAGGAGATTGACACTATTTCCGTGGTGAGGGAGTCCGCCTCATAGAGAGATTGAGTTCACGATTGATCTATTGCCTGGTGTGGGGCCTATCTCTCTGGCTCCGTATAGGATGTCACCACCGGAATTAGCCGAGTTAAAGAAGCATATTGAAGAGCTTTCGGCTAAGCAGTTTATCCGGCCAAGTGTGTCCCCGTGGGGAGCACCAGTCATATTTGTTAAGAAGAAGGACAGTAGCATGAGATTGTGCACTGATTACCGTCAGTTGAATAAGGTTACCATTAAGAACAAGTATCCTCTCCCTCGCATAGACGATTTGCTTGATCAGTTGAGGGGTGCTTGTGTTTTCTCAAAGATTGATTTGAGGTCGGGTTATCATCAAATCCGAATTAGGCAGGAAGATATTCCGAAGACTGCCTTACGATCTAGATATGGACATTATGAGTATCAAGTAATTCCATTTGGACTCACTAATGCTCCTGC